AATTATGTTTATATGCGTTATAATGATCGAAACGATTAGCGACGCGACTACGTCAAGGTTTCTTGTCAAGCTATCTCGTGTTTTGCTATTCTTTGAATTTGATGTTGCTGGCAGGTTTATCGGACACGATATGCTCGTTAGGACCTTCGTGTGGTATGGAACAAAAAAAAGAAGAAAAAAGGTTTCTATTTATCAGGGCGCCCGCAGCTTCCGCGCGTGTTCGCGAATCTTTTGATTCTGAACCGTTCCAAAAAGCAAACGGTGGCTCGATTTTACGGTCGGGAACTCGACAATTTTACACCAGCCATCGGTTCTCGAGCATATTTCGAACGTTTGGTCTTATTCAAAACCTGCATCAACGACGGCTCGAGGTGAAGAAAGAACCAACAGTTGAACCGATGTACGGTTACTCGCGCAGGTGTACCAATGTTGGCCACGCACCTGTCCGATCTTTCGTACTAACCAATAAAATGGACTTTCCATCCGGTTTCCTGTACTTTGACGCCACGAAATTAGTCTTGTTTTCGATGTTCCTTGAATAGCGTTTACATTTCACGCTGCTGTACGAGAGAAAAAAAAAAAACGAAAATTGGAAATTACGAAAAAGAGTACGAACACAGAAGCAGGTGCTCGACGTCGATGCGCGGTTCGTTTGTCATCGTTTCCTGGTGTACACGGAAATTTCTATTCCATCTTCTTTCTGTTCACGTTCTCTGTTCACTTACACGAGTAACTAGTTATCTACTTAGCTAGTTACCTACCTACCTATCTCTACCTACCTACCTTCCTACCTACCTGCCCGCCTACCTAAGCCGCCACCGACCGTTTCGGTGTACCTGCCCGTCTGCCCACTGTCAGTTTCATACAAATCCATCTTGTAACACGGGACTTACCACGGACCCGTGAAAACTTCGCTAATAACAATATTATATTTAGAAATTCGATTTTCCACTTCGTTGTTTGGAACGATTATAGAGTAAAAATAATGCCAGAAAAACGACGGCTAGTGTTGCCTACTTATTTTTTTTTTTTTTTTTTTTTTTTGCGACGGACGAGCAGGAAGAACGGTTAGGCAGCGCGAAATAGCCGGATACGTAAAATCATTGTCCCTCGACTTCTGTACCGTGACGGAGCGCGTTTCGCCGCGGCGACTGCGAAAATTGTCTCTGAATCATCTCCCGATGATTTCCCCCGCGAATCGAGAAGCATAAGAGAGAATAGAGCCGAAAATGTGGTCGATCCCAATTACACCTATTTTCCCGACTACGTTACAAGAAGCTTTCCTGTTTACGCGGTTGCGCACGTCGATCAGAATGGACGGTTAAAGATAGCGATAGAGGGAGAAAAACAAAAGATAAAGAGCAGCAGCCATTTACCGAACACAATTTCCGATACAAAACGTTCGACTGGTGCACGCGCGTACATACGAGTACACGCGAGTGGCGATACGGCGACAGGTGAAGTATACAGCTGCTGTTGGACAGCTGGACCGATATCCGTTTCCACATACCTTGTTGGTAAACCATCGATAAGTTCGCGGTCATAAGATTCGATGTGTTGGTTCTCATGAAATTTTCAACAACGACCTCGTAAAATCGAAACGAATTGTCGTCGTCGTCGTGACTATGGGATAAGGAAAATGTTATTCGAATTTCTATTTTCATTTTTGTTGTCCGTGCAGGTAAATAGCCCGGCAGAATTTGCAAAGATCGACAGGGTTAAACGTCGTTTCGGTGAATGAAACAAGAATTGGTCAGCTCGGGCAGAAACGGAAGAAAACACCTGCCACTTTACTTCTCCGTTCGACCACATCCTTCCTTCGGGCCCCAAAAGCTTTTGCTGCCTCGAGCCGATCGAAGGCTCCCCGACGCCGTGTATACACACGGCCGTGGAACCGATAGGACTCGAACACCGAACCGACACTACCGGCAGACGGTGTTTGGGAGGCCATACGTCGTACACGTACGTCCGTGTATACCGTTGGTGTGCACACGTATCGGCGATCGTACGTGCGTCTGGTACACACGCAAGAAGCGGAGGAGAGCTCTTGAAAAACCTTCGAGAACAGGATCGTTTTTCGTTCGGTTCTCACGATGGCGAACGTCTTTCGCCAGATTTTTCAAGCGTGTCCCGTGCCACTCGTCGATCGCGTTTACCGATTCTCACGAAAACCGTATCCTCAAACGACGATTATTAACACTAGAACTACCGACGATAAATACATATTTACTTCGATCGATGGATAAACGTGAAAAACCTTTGAAAATTTAGAAGTGTTCCATTGTAGAAAAGGTTTCGGAAACCCTGGTCTAATAGAATGCTTTGTTTTTATGATATTTCCAATTTGTCGACTTAAATGCCGCACCCTGTATGTGTACAACCGTAGTTTCTGATCGACTGTACGGGAAAAATAGAAAAGTGAAAATCGATAGTGCAGAAGGAAGCTGGAAGATTGATTCCGAAATGGTCGAAGAGGCGCGCAATTGATCGTAGAGAGGGTACGATAGATCGCATGGTTCACGCGGGATACGAACGTTCCGCGAGAGGAGAAGAGACAGAGAGAGACCTCTCGGTTCTCTGGTAACCGTCTACTACACAGATCTCTCCTCTACGTTCCGGAGAGCGCACGAGAATTGCGCAACGATACACGCGAGTCGCGCGAGTCGCGCGATACGCTGACTCAGACGGGTGAAATGCAGCGCGGGTGTTCCGTTGCGCTGTGGTCCGCCGATAGTCGTAGACCTAAGCGAACGAGCGCGCAGGAACCGGTCGTTTCGCAACCAATCGCTATTTAGAAGAGTGGGCGACCGATTTTTACCCCCTCCCCTGCTCCACCGTCCTCCCTCGGAACGTCCGCGGCTCCAACCATAGGCAAAAGTGAATAATCGGTTTTACACGATGTACAGGGTAAAACGTATTTAGTAAATACTATTTATCCGATCGTTTTTCGTTTTCACCAAGAGTATAGGAAAACTAGGGCGTATCCTGATCGACGAACCAATACGAAACGAAAGAAAGCAGACAACGATCTTGCCTATGTGTTATTTCCAGGGAAGTACACGCGTGTGTACACTCACGAGGAAACTCAGTTTCCGCTAGGGGAAAAAATGACGGTGGAGAAGGGCCTCTTAAAATTTTGGTAACGGGAATTATTGAAATTTATACCAAATTAACATTCGATTTAATATTTATTTCAGTACTTGAAATAAATTTACCAAGTGGTAGGAGGTTTTTCTCTTACGCCCCTTTTTTCCCCTAGCGGAAGCCGAGGTTGCTCGCGAGTGTACGGTTAAGCTGCGTCTCCATTATCCCGATCAGCAAAACTGACCATATGGGGATACGTCATCGTCACGTGGTGTAATGGGGAGAGAAAATAGACCGATCGGTGTTGCCGATCGGCATAATGGGGACGCAGCTTTAGGAGCACGGCGACGATTGCGTTCGAAAGGGAAATACTGTTCTCTTCTAAATAAACCCATCGACGCGGAGGATCGTTTAGTATTCTCGGTGTTGCAGGTAGCATCCGGTTAAGAGACGGCGACAGCCGCTCCCACCGATCGCGTCGAACGTTTATTCCGTCTCGTCTTTGGCTCGATTCCCATTTGACTCGATGGAGCCGAGAGTCCTTGAAAATCGGAGGACGAGCAAACGAACGATCTCACTGATCCGACGACGACTGGAGATACCAGACGTTATTTCGCGCGAGCAACGGCCCGAGACGAACGAACAGGATTCAGCGGCCGAACGCAATAACGATTTTGCTCGCAGCGCGTAGAAACAAACAAAACAAAAAAGGCCAACGACGACAACACGGATCCGTTCGTTCCACGGAAAAAACAACGTGTCCGACGTAGACACACGGGAGATAGATCGCGATCGAGATAATCCCGCGCCAGACGGTCGCGAAAACGATAAACAACATTTCGAACGATCGGTACCGTAACAATTTCGATCGCGATGCAGCGTGTACGCGACGGCGGCGCACGGTTGCGATTCGACGGGAAAAAAAAGAGAGCGAGAGAGGTTCGGAAGCGAAAACTGCGGCGAAGAGGGGCAGGAGGAGGAGGGGGAAGGAGGTGAAGAAGCGCGGGGTGGGGGGGGGGAACAGAACGATTTAAATATGACCTTGAACGACTGCAGAGACTAAAAGAGAGAAAATATTTCAAACGTGTTCGGGCAGCGACGGCGGCACTGGCCGATTGGCAGAACGTTTAAAAAAATGTTCACCAAACGGGAAAAAAAGGTTGGCGGGAGCAACAGCCCGGAAACGGGGGTAGAAGGAAGAAAAACGGTATTAGCGAAACTACGATGACGGGCACGTGCGTTCGAAAAATGTGCACATACAGAATAGAAACTAGTACATTTCGGATAAATAAATATATGTAATTGACATATATTATACACATATATACATGCACATACATACATAATGTGCACTTACGTACATGCATATGTATACAGAGGATGGAACGGCAGGGAAAGATAAAAACAGTGAGAGTGTAAAGAGGGGGGTTACAGGGGGGCCGCGGGGTAGAGAGGGGCGATGAAAGAAGAAAGAGAAAAGAGAAGAACGTAGTAGGTTTCAGGGTTGAAGAGGGAGGAAAGATGAAGCGCATCGGGATTGGCTGGTAAGCAGCGTGTTTACGCGAGATAGTGGGGGATACGCGATGTCTCAGCTGAGCTGTACAGTATAGAGGTAGTCGGTTTAGCAAGAGGGCGAGTTAGTAGCGAGTGAGCGCTCGTTGAGCGAGCGTCGTTGCGTGGGTTATCGGTCGTCGTGCGATAATGTCATCTCGTGATCGACGTGCAACCGTCGAATCCTGAGAATCCGTGTCGTGTTCACACACACACGCGACAAGAAGGAAATTAGTAGTCACATCGCGCGTATATATACATATATATAAATATATATATATACATACCCATAATTCTTGATAATTTAACCGACGCGTGACTCGGTGGTCGCGCGTTTTATTTTGCCAGTCACGACTACGTCGTCGATGCCACTACGTTGTTGTTGTCGTCGTCGCAGCCGCAGCAGCAGCCGTCGTCGTCGTCATCGTCACGGTCGATGATTAACCATCACTGCCAGCCTCGTTACTCCCGTTCGCGTTTCCAACAACTCGGTTTGCCGCTTTTCGCGTACGAGCGGAGAGACGTCGAGGAATCGGAGGGGTACAGTTCACCGGCACGAAAGGAGAGGAGGAAGAAACGGGACGAAACTGACGAACAACGTTATCGAGGGGATCATCGTTGCTTGAGCGACACGGGGACGAACGACCTAACCACGACGGAGGAGGAGACGACGTTCAAATTTCCACGAGGAAGATCGAGGCGCGTGAGAACCGCTCGAAAGTTACCGGGAAAGTCCGCGGTTGGTTGCAGTGCTGCAGTGTGTTCGCTCGTTAAAAGTGACGTGACAAAGAATTTCGCGAGAATCACGGGCCCGAAAATGGTGCCGCAACAGCAGGACAGTCCCTCCAGTTCGGGGATACCTATGTTCGGATCGTTGCTCGTGGATAAAAATTCAGCGACACCCTATTCGGATGCGACGCAGGTAAATGTTTGTTATTTTAAGAATCTAGATCGTTCACCTCATCTGTTTCCTCCACTTGTCCCCCTGTCGAATTTTTCATTTTACGATCGTGATCCGATTCGTCGGAATTAAAATCCACACCGACCGAAATTTGTCGATTATTTCGCTGGTCGATGCATCATCATTTTTCAAACATAACGCGGCCGAATCCTTCAAGATGCAAGTCCTCCGACTCTGTGAATGTGTGTTCGCATTTAACGACGCATGTTTTCACGGTGGATTGCATGACCGATTCGGAATCGAATTGACGAGGAACCGAGGCCGAGTGGTGTGTGAAGCGAGAATGCACGCGTATCTAAAGGAATCGCCACGAAATGCAATCTCTTGGTCACGGTCCTTGGTTTCTCCTTCCGTTTACCGTCGAAAACTCGTCGCGTTTCGTTGCTTCCCGTGAAACAAGCTGTGTATGTGTGTATGTCCCCCTCGGTCGAGGCACGCACGCAACCCCGATAAACGTTTACGAGCCATGCCTTCGCTCTGCCGCCGCGCCGACCTGTTTATTTTGGTAACGATGAAACGTCGTCGAACGGAAGAACAGATTATTTTTGTCCTTGATCCGTTATTCTCGGTTGTTTGGGCTTTCGTGTACGGATTTTTCTCATGCTTTTGCTGAATCTTTATTTCTCTCTCTCTCTCTCTCTCTCTCTTTATTCGACGTAGCTTCGCCGTCAATGTTTTTCCGCGATTCCCCTCCCCCCTCGCGCCAGTACGAACGATGAATCGCGTGGCAAATATTCGAATTCAATTTTCTTTTTTCTTTTTACGAGATTTGATTCTCACAGTTGTCGGAAGCAGAAAACGTCGTCTGTCGAGATCCCGTCGAATGAAAACTTTTGCCAACAAGTTCTCACGATCGATTCCACTTTCCTCTTCGCTGTTTTGTGATAGTGTTCAGTCTCGCACGGGAACCGTTCCAACGCGTCCGCCGCAGACATTTTTTTTAACGATCTTTCTGTACCTCGCGAGAGGCGTCGAACCGTTGGAATCGTAACGGTAAGTTGCTCTTTCGCTGCTCGAAGGTCGAGCGAAACGCGTTTTTCGCAATAACGTTGCCGCCGCCGTCGTTCGATTTCGGTCGTTCGAGCGCGAGCACCGAGCGCTTTCTATTTGGTGAATCGACGCGTCGGTTTGTTGCGCTCCTTGACGACCCCTGGGACAACCACGGACAGGATAAAATGGAAAAAAAAATTTCCACGAGATTTACACACCTATCGATCCACCGTCTAAGAATCTTTCAATCCAAAACGGGTTTTTTCGTCCCTCGAACGATTTAAAATCAAAATTATTTTTCCGTCTGACACCGTGAAAGTTCACTTGACACGACCGAAACTATACTCTTTTTTTTTTTTTACCCCCTTTTATTTTTTAGCTACTTAGTATTCTTATTTATTTCGAAAACAATTTCGTTCGACTGGCCCGCGCGTTTGCGCCACTCGGTTACGACAATCATCGAATCAAAGTACCCGTAGTTTAGCAATTTAAACGCAGAAGAAGTGCGGCGACCGGATTAAGCTCAAAGAATACATAATCGCGATGCAAGGCACATCGTAAGGAAAAGGAAATTCAGAGTGACACAGTGTGAATGATGCAGATTGACGTACAACACATAATTTGTAGTCACTTTGAAACGGACTGTAAAACCGATCGTGTTGCGCGGTGTTTATCTCAAAGAACAATCGCCGAGATATTCGCTTTCGGGGAAGCCAGACTACCGACCAGAGATGAGCAAATTAATTATCTAGATAAAATAACGTATTTCGTCATTTTTAATTGTTTAAACATGGAAATTGCAATTTTTATAATAAAATAATATTTCTTTAATTGAATCGACATTTGGTCGCACAATTATTTAATCTCATCAACTGTTTAAAACTCAGAAACGACACCCTTAGATACTGCTGCTTTTCACGGTGAATTCGAATAAAATTCTGCCCAACTCTGCCACCGACACAAGTCGAACGGATATTTCCTTTCAAAGAGTTGGGAAAACGCCGCGATTCTCTCCGGTCGATGCCGATCGAGCGTGTATCCCAGCGAGCGGCAGTATACCAGATGGCCCCGCAGCCGTCGTCGCACCTTCGTAACCTACATCCTAGCCTTTCGATTTCCACTCGAGCGCGTGTCGAGTAATCGTCGAGATCTAAAAGTATAATAGGCGCAGGGTGCGCGAGCACGGTGCGTGCTATCTGCATCTCGACACATACCGCCGTCTAATAAGCAACGCAAATTGCACTGGCTCTCTCGCGGCCAGTACAAGAACGGTGTGTAGACCACGATAAGTTTCCTATCGAGCACCCACTCATTCTCCACGAATCGTATTACTCGAATTCGAATCGAACACGAATGTGAACGAACGATACGAAACGTGTTGACGGTTTTTTTTTCTTCCTCTGTTCCAGACGAAGAAGAACAACCCGAATCACATAAAGAGACCGATGAACGCGTTCATGGTGTGGTCGCAGATCGAACGGAGAAAAATCTGCGAGATCCAGCCGGACATGCACAACGCGGAGATCAGCAAGCGTCTCGGCAGACGATGGAAAACATTGGACGAGGCTGAGAGGCGACCGTTCATCGAGGAGGCGGAGAGACTGAGGCAATTGCACATGGTTGAGTATCCGGATTACAAGTACAGACCGAGAAAGAAAACGACGAAACCGACCGCCACCGTTGCCGGACCAAAAACGAAGGAACCCGGTGGCAAAAAATCGCGTAAATCGTCTGTAGGAAGCGTCGTCGGGCTGACGAAGAGTTTCGGTCACCCTCGCAACGACACGAACAACAACACGCAAACGAACAACAACGCGGCGATAGGAGCGACGGTGAAACGATTGCAACCGCAATCGAACAGTAGCAAGCCAGTCTCCCGATTGAAGGTCAGATTGGCGTTGGACAAACGGCCGCCGCTCGATTACACTCCCACGCCGCCGATCGTCACCGCCAAGATACCGAGCAGTCCCTCTTGCGTCGCGCCCGATTCCCCGGAATCGGCGAGCTTCTACGAGGACAGTTTCCTCGATTGCGGTTCGTCCGTTCGTTTGAACGCCGCCGCGGTGACCACCACGGGCGCGTCCTCGCCAACCTGTTCCAGCACCTCCGGTATTTCCGGTTCCCCTATTGGCGGGGGAACCGTGACGGACATCAAGCAGGAAGCCAATCTCGAGATGGATTACGAGACGACGTTCGAGCCGAAAGATCGGCTGTTGTCGTCGGTCGGTCCCGTTGGCGCGAATCTCACCGGCAACACCACCGTTCCGTTTTCCAATTCCGTCGAGGAGATCGGTCTGATGTCCGCAAGAAGCTTCCGCGATCGGACTACCTGTCGTCTCGATCGACCGACGAGCTTTCTGGTGAAAGAGGAACCGGTCGAGCCCGAAACCGACATGGACGCCGACACGGAAGCGTTGTCGCCCGCCTCGATCGCCGATTCCGACCACCAACGGGCCTCTTCGAGTTCCATAAACACCGGTACAACCACCATTCACACCGCTCTCTCGTCGATCAACTCCAGAACGTCCTCCAATCCGCACACACTCGCGGACACGATATCGAACGGTGTGCCGATGGACGACGGTTGCTCGGCCACGATCGCGACCACCGCGTCCGTGATCAAACTCGAGGAGTCCCCGAATAATCCCAGTCTGGCCGATCTTTATTCGTTGACCGATCTTCTACAGATACAACCGTCCGATTTCAAGATCGATCTCGATATGGAAACTATAACCACCGATTTGGACACGTTCGAGACAGCTAGCTCGAGTAGCGGTTCCCATTTCGAATTCTCTTGCACGCCCGACGTGACGGATATGCTGTCGACGATCGGTGTCGGTAACGATTGGGTCAGCTTCTGAGGGAACCACCATCGGACTGTGTTACCCCAGAAAAACGCGTCTTCCGATCTCACACGACGATATTTGATCGTTTATTTTTTTTTTTTTTTTTTTTTGTTTTTGTACATCTACTGTAGCATACTAGGTTTACGACTTTCGTTTTTTCGTTTTGTACTCTCTACGGTAAGGTTGATTCTAACCCCCGTGTAACCCGACCGATTCGTCACAAATCCGCGACCGTGTACGCGTTGCGCGTTCACCCGACGACGATTCGTGTTTCTTTCGATGTGTATATTTTTGGTAGGATATATGAATGTGTAGCAATATATGCGTATATAACATATATGTACCGTGCACCGTAAATAGGACGCGCGTATATATACGTACCTTCGCTGGCAAGCTCGGCTTTCCGCTAGGGGAAAAAGTGATGTAAAGGAAAGACGCGAAAAAATTACTATTCTCATAATTCATAATCTTAATATTACAAGATCAACAGAAAATTACCACTTCGTCTCGGAGTTATTGAAAATTATGCGAAATTAACGTTCGGTTTAACATTTATTTCAGTATTTGGAATAAATTTATCAAGCAGTAGGAAGCCCTAACCTCTACATTAGTGGTAATTTTCTTTTGGTCCTGTAATCTTAATATTATGAATTATGAGAATAGTAATTTTTTCACGTCTTTCCCTTACATCATTTTTTCCCCTAGTGGAAGCCGAGTTTGCTCGTCGGTGTACACACACAATCTCGTAACCCCACGTAAAAAAAAAAAAAATCGGTAGAGCGACGCAGAGTACATCGGGACCTCGTGATTTTGCTTGGAATCACCCAACATATCGTTCGTCGCGCGCAAACGTTTGATCTCATCTTCCTTTTTACCTTTATAAACTTAGTTATTTACTCGTAACGTTTGCCCATTGCGCCCGAAGACGGGACTGCCTGCGCGCGCAGCTTCGTTTCGTCTGTGCGCTTCAAATCTTGGTCGTTTAATGATCGTAAATTGCCAGTGAAAACAATCACTTTTGCGATCGCCGCGTGTTCAGTAACCCGTCGTCGTTGTCGTCATCGCCGATACATGTGCGCGCGCACACGCGCATTCATATCCGTCGCGACACGGTGAAAGTCCGTGTAGGTGCACACTGCCGATTAGTTAGTTTTTCCCGATCGTTCGACACGATATATGTGTTCTTTCTCGTTTACTGCTCAAACCATTTCGACGTTCTTCGACAATAACGACGACGATCCGCGCGCGCGCACATACGACTGCCAAACTCTGTTCTCGCGTGCACGACGCTTCGTCGAAAAATCGAAGAATCCTTCTCCCCGTCTCTTCTTCGATACCCATGCGAAAAATTTTGTCACCGCGTCGATTCGACGACGCGTATATATGCGGTCGTGTTCCAGTAACTCCATAGAAATCGGCACTATTGTTTCCTGTGCGCGCAACAGTTTGAAACTGGGAACTAGTTGAGAGCTGCTGAGTAGCCCAGGTCCTATAAACTGAACGGCACAGTAGCAAGAGGGGTATTTCGCGAGACGCCACGTCATTACTGCATCAGTACCACGTGATTACTCTGTTATTGCTACATGCTCACTGGATCTTGTGTGCCTCGTTCACTTTTTTTTGTCACGAACTAATTTGATTGGAGGGCTCCTCTTCAGCTCTCAAGTACACGTCTGCTATTGGACGCATGGAACACGACCACAACACACTTTCCACGAGAGGCATCGAATTTGCTAGAGTGGTGGACAGACGTCCGAGAACCAAAGTAGGATCCCCCCCCCCCCCCCCCCACCCTACGACTTAAAGGCTGTGAATAATTTTTGATCGAAGGATATCCATCCGATACTTCGTCGACATTTTCGGGGATTATTCGAGAGAGTTCGCGACTCGACTCGCGAGAAATTCCGACAGAGGAAGATTATTTAGCGTCAGTTTACCCGGAAAAATCGAAAGGGGAAGATATATAATTGTGCGCGCGCGCGCACGCCGGATTCTCGTCGAATGTACAGGGCGTGCAACGTTGGCCGACGATAGTGACGGCTACCTTGACGAACGAGGAAGGGCAAATTGTAGAGACGTGGTCGCGCGTTGCCGTCCGTGACCGTGCTCGGATCGACCGAGCCGACGATACTCGTGCGTTGTACTGGGTGTCCTAAAAAGATGGGACAATCAAAATACAATCAATACAAGTCGAAAAGTCCTTTACCGTTTTGTAATCGGAAGCTTCATTTCTGAGATATTCGCAGTTGAACGAACTCCAGTTAGTAGTTAACGATCAGCTGAGCGGTGCGCCACACGTACGCGCTGACACAGTTAAGATGCGCAGGCCAGTGACTTCGGTCGTGCGCTTCTTGACTTGTGTCCGCGCGTACGTGTGAGTTCGTTTAACTGCTAATATATTGGAAACGAAGCTTTAGATTACAAAATGGTAAATGACTTTTCGATTTGTATTCGCATGAGAAATATCGATGTGGATTGTCCCATCTTTTTGGGACACCCTGTATATGTATTTACCTCGAACTCCATGGCGGAACGTCAGTTAGTTCCTGCTGCTCAGTTGTGTCCGAAAAAAAAATTAGCCAGACGACTCTTAATTTTTGTCGAGTAATCAATCGCAAACGGGATCGAGCAATCTTAAAAGAGTTGCGCAGGTCAGAGAAAATCGTATATTCGTAATCTTCTGATGCGTAGAGATAAACGAACACACCAAAGTGCAATAGTACGCGTATACGTGTAATTTGTAAACGCCCCAACGACCGAGAAAAACAAAACGGCAGAAACGGTATTATTGGTTTCTATCGAAATACCGCGCGTAAAAACGAAGGGACGAAAAATGAATGAAGGATTCATACCGATATATCTTGATCATTAGAGATAAAGAGATTGATAAATATTTTTTCAACGGCTATCGATGTATGTAACGACGCGAAAAAATATAGAAATTGGCTAACGAGCGTCGGCCACTATTTTTCCACGAAATGTAGTTAGACCCGAGATGCCTTTGAATCTGATGATGGTTCCGTTGACGGTTTTTGTTCGAAATCGATTTGCCAAATGTGATGAAATTGTACATGCACGAATAAACTCTGTTTCCAATAGGGGAAAAAGTGGCGTAAGAGAAAGGCCTCCTATCACTTGGTAAATTTATGTCAACTACGGAAATAAATGTTAAATTGAATGTCAATTTGACATAAATTTCAATAATTCCTGAGATCAAGTGATAGAAGGCCCTTCTACACTCCTTTTTCCCTCGGCGGAAGCAGAGTTTGCTCGCGAGGGTTATGTACTTCATTCGTGGGGACGAGCTTTGCCTTCGGCTCGTGTGTCCTTTCGCCTCGTTTCGTTTATTTCCATCATCCCTCCACGTGTCTTTCCATGATACCATTGTGTTTCTCTATATTTGTAATTTTTTGTCGTCGATGCTTTTCGCGCGACGCGTCGTATCACGATGCGGTATGTAATGTCTCTTTTAGGTTATGTTTACGACCGACCGATCGCGATCGAGCGAAAGGATACGCGTGCGTGCGACGTTCGAATCCGACGCAGCCAAGTTTTTTTCCACCCAAGGATCGGCGGGAAGACACCCCTACCATATTTACCGTTCAGAGTTTTCAGTGGAAGAGAACCGAAGCGATCACGCGTCCGAGTTACATCTCGTAGACATAAGTTTTCTTTTATTCACGATAGAGGAATTAATCGCGCTAACAATCAAGTTCATACACGTAACGACTGTACATTTTGTATTTAGCTCTTTGTTTATAATACTTATTACCTTGTTATCAAGTATTCGATTTATATAATTTTTTTATCGAACTTATTAAAAAATATTTAAAAACGAACTATAAACGTGTTTTCGTTTCTTTTGTTTTTTTCTTTTCTCTTTTTTTTTTCTCTCGGTCAACCTCGAATCTCCTAGGTCAGCTGGGATTCCCACCTCGTCCCTATGACTCTAGTGGTCGTGGTGCTCTCCTTGAGTGCGCGAGAGCGACATCGCGGAGATCGCGAGTGCCTTTACGTGCTCGCGCGCGACAACGATAATAACGCGCAGTAACGCTATTAATAGCTGACAGCGAACGAACAACCGCGGCACCGACGGGGCGGTTTAGCGGCCGAACTTGTATTCGCCTCTCCGTTGCCTGCAACTTTCCCCAAGTTCTTTCTTCTTCAAATTACCGTCCAACACAGTACCATGCATGTGCGGTGATTCACGCGTCGAAACTGGTGACTCTACGGTTCCCCGAGAGGAAACGTGTTGTGTCGTTGTGCTCTCGAGAGAGTGCATTGCTATCGCGCCTATCGGAATTTCTTTCCCGTGATTCGACAGGCGTTCGGCCGTTTCGTTGATTTCATCCAGGTCGTCCGTCGTGGTGAGTCGCTTATTCGTTCCGAGAACGGTGCATCCGTGTGTATGTATGTAAAAGGGAAAAATGCACGGTTCGCGCGCGCGTGGACAGAGCAACGGAGCCGAGTTCCGTCGTAAAATAATCGCTCAAGGTCCGCGATGGCGTTGCACCCATCCGACGGCAGGACTGCCAACAACCGCGCGCACTGTTTACATCGTGCGCGCGCGCGAGTGTGCCCACGATTCCCCCCCCCCCTCCCCCCCCTCCAGCCCCCCTTCGCCATAACCCCTCTGCCAGCAGCGTAGTCAAGCCACCTTCTTCACGGACACTCGCAACCAGCCAGCCGCCCTCTCTCGCCTTCTCTTTCATCCTCTCCTCCGTGTCCTCGTGCTCTTAGCGGTAATCGCTCGGCTCTGTTTTTTTCACTACGATCCGTAGCGTACGACGGTTTGCACGTTCGCCCGGCGTCGACGCTTTTCCGTGACGTGTGAGACGTGATTCGCCACGTTGAAGTAAAAATAAGTCTGAAGCGACGAAATCCTGACCAGTCGAATTGTCAGTTCACTCGTCTAACTGCGTCGTCGAGTAGACTCTGTAGGATTTTCTTTGGACGTATTTCACCAGATATTCTCCAACGGTACACCGACGAGCAAACTCGGCTTCCGCTAGGGGAAAAAATGGCGTAGAAGAAACGTCTCCTTATCACTTCGTACGTTTATTT